AGCAGGAAAGATCACATCTCAGCTACCCACGGAACACAGAAAAAGCCAAAACACAAATACCTACATCTCTTCCCAGGGGTATTTGACCCTAAAACCAGTGTCACGTAGCAGCGGCATGAAGCAGCACTCGCCCAGCCCCAGGTAAGGTTGGGGGCTGCCCCTCTTGCCTGGGGTGATTCCCCAGAAGCAGGAAGCAAAACTACCCTTGAACCCTGAGTAAAAGCCAGGAGGTGCAGGCACACGATCTACCTTTCGTATTCCACGTATAAAACGTAAGGTCTGTATCCCACAGGTAAAACGGGGGGAGCTGGCATGGGAATGAAAAGCCAGGCCCAGGCTGTGCCCAGCTCCCGGCAGAGCTACAGCTCTGCGACACTCGGTGCCATCCCATGTCCCCCCCTGCTCTCTGCTGTGTAACTGTCAGTTTTCTAAGCTTTCCCTGGGCAAAAGCAAAGCCGAGCAGTAACCACAGTAACAGAATGACCCGATCCACTGAAAATCCCTTGGGAAAGTCAGCAGCTCCTACGGGACCCCGTCAGCTGGACACAGGGCACCAGGCAGCACAGGTAGCGCGGTACCAGATGGGAAAGATCAGCTACGGCAGCAGAAAGCAAAACCTGACTTTAATCAAGAAATCTCTTTCCTCGGATGACTTTTAAATGTCCATTTATGATCAAAACCAAAGGCCCAGGCTATTATTACTTCTGGGCGGAAATTGTTTTTCCAGCTCCTTCAGGAGTCCAGGCAGGGAATCTGATGGGAATTTTTGTGTAAAGCAGAAATAGCTTCAAACCACACAGGGACGATCGTCATGATGGGATACGCAGCCTTCCTGTTCCCCCGCGGCACATTTGACACACACACAGAGCCATCCGAGTGAATACACTCGTAGTGTCTCTCCTCAAACAAGATGCATCATTCTGCAGCAGTTGCTGCACACCAAAACTCTTCTAAGGCAAAGGTTTAAAGTCATCCATCTTAAAAAGCCATGATTAGGAAAGCAGAGCAAAATTGGCAGGGCAGAAGCTGCACTAAAAGCAGACAGATTTGCTTTTAACGCACTGAGCAAGAAAACAGGCTGCTTTGCTTTTGGATGGAACAAGAGTTCACCCCTACTGCTCATTTTGAACTCGGCATCCCGCAAGCAGGGCTGCAGATGGGAGTGCTAAGCAAGCTGTGCTGCTGTGAGACCCTCCACAGGTATAAGCTCCTTCTACACTTCCCACAGGCTCTTCATTTAGGCGCTGATTCGGGGGGCTGTGTATGTGTGTTCTGCTCAGTTAAGGCCGCAGGATCATCCACTGAAGTCCTGGCCTTAAATAACATCAACGGACCAGGAGTTTAAATACAAATTACTTGTGAAACCGATGAAAGTTCTCGATGCTGTAGGACAACGATAACGACACGAATACATCCCAGAAGCATTAAACAGATGCACTGCCCCAGTCTGCTGCCCACTGCAGCTCCTGGAGCAGCCCTGGAGCAGGAAGCCATCCCCATGTAGTGCCCCAGGCACTTTTGGGGAGCCTGAACCCACAGTTCTGCCTCCCCAGCGGCTTCATGCTCTGCTTGTAACCGCAGCAGTTACCTTCCAGCAGTGTAACCCACATAGCAGCAAAAGGAATAATTTTGCTATTACCATATTCAGGTCCTACAGATACTTAAAACCAGCAATCGCCAGGCTGCAAAATGAAATTAGGAGCATCAATTACATTTTTGGGAATTAGCTTGTATTTCTACTTTTACTAAGCCTTTTCACAGAAACACAGAATGTCAGGAGCTGGAAGGGATTGGTTCTTGTATTTGCAAAATGCAAAGTGAATGAATTTCCTCCTATTTTTCAGAATCATCATTTGCACAGGTAAATACAGACTTGTGAAATACCAAACCCCCAATGAACAAAGAACAAAACACGACTTACTTTGAGAGAACCACTTACAGTTTACTCCCACGTGCTGTACCTCACCATCTAACCGCGTATGTTTATCTTACAGGCTGCCTTGTTTAAATCTTGGTTTATCCTGGAGCTTAGTACTGGAAACAAGGATCTTTTGGAGCTACTGGGGTATTTGTAAGGTTTAAACATTTACATTTTGAAGGAAAAAAAACCACTTTATCCCACACCACAATTTTGTTTTGGTTGAAAAAAGAAAGCATTCTTTAGATGGCCTTTCACGTTCGCTTTGGTATCTTTACAAGGAAGAGAAGTCTGTGTTTGATCTGAAGTACATTGGTTACATTACACTGGATTTTACAGGTGGAATTTTGCTTTAAAGCAGGTAATGAACCAATAGGACATGGATTGGAAGAGGCAGTGAATCCTCACATCTCATTAAAAATCAGTACTTTCTGTTGCAGTTTATCAGCATCGCAGTCATGGCAGCATCTCATAACAGGAATTCAGGAATCAGACGGCCCGTTCCTTGCTCCACCTGCCCTTGTGCATCGTATCAGCTTGTGACAGATCTTCATCGTGCAATCAGAGTACGAAATGCAACACATCATTGCTGAGGTAGCATCCTACAAATGAGCTGGATAACCAAGTGCAAGGAAAACATCCTTTTCCATTCTAACTTCCTCTATACTAAAACGTAAGGAACACTGTATCACTTATATACAAAATGTTTAAGTATTTCTCAAATGGTAGCTAGCACTGCACAAACCCACCAGATCCACTCTGCCTTCTGCACCCCAGTATAATTTTACAGTGACTCCACAAGATGCAAGGCTCCACTTACAGCCTCGTCTCATACAGTGATCTGTTCATACTTAAAATGTTAAACACCTGAAAACTAATCATGTTGTAAAAACTCTATTCACTACTATAGTTTTCTTTAAAGAAAAAGTATGTCAGGGTCTGATATCTATTGGATAACTAACACTGGTGTTTCTGGGAATGCTATGTGTGCTTAACTAATATTTTCCTGTTGGCCATTTGGTCCAAATGAGATTCAGGCTTGAGTAACAGACACAGAAACATGAGGAAACCTCACATCAACACAGCCCCACCTGACCAGACGTATTTTCTGTTTCAGGACTAAACCCAAATACCCACGCTAGGAAACCAGTATTGCCGAAGCCTCAGCATCAACCAAATTCTGTGTCCACACCAACACGTCCCAGTGGCAGGATGTGGGCTTAGCTGCTCCATCACAAAGATGTCCAGAGCTACAAAGATGCTGGAGGGAGTGGAGCATCTCCTGCTGAGGAGCGGCTGAGGGAGCTGGGGCTCTTGAGCTTGGAGCAGAGGAGACTGAGGGGTGCCCTCATTCCTGGGGATCCATTGGGAAAGGGCAGTGTCAGGAGGAAGGAGCCAGGCTCTGCTCTGGGATGGCCAATGCCAGGACAAGGGGCAATGGTCCCAAGCTGGAGCACAGGAGGTTCAAGCTGAAGATGAGGCCAAAGTTTGTGAGTGTGAGGGTTCTGGAGCATGGCCCAGGCTGCCCAGAGAGGTTGTGGAGTCTCCTTGTGTGGAGACACCCAAAGCCCTGGCCGTGTTCCTGTGTGACTGCTCTGGTGATCCTGCTCTGGCAGGGGTTGCACTGGGGGAGCTCTCCAGGTCCCTTCCAACTCCTCACATTCTGTGATCCTGTAATCATCACTTCCTACAGCTTTGTGAAGACAAACAGACACAGTTGGGGCCATGCCTGTAAGATAACAGCGTTGTGACCTAAGGTCCATGGGTTAAATTAGAGCAAAGTATGGCAAGCTTTTCAGGAAACAGATGATATGTTTACCTAGGTCTCCAATAAAGATAAATCTACAACATTAGTGTATCAGAGTCAACTTGCATCAGAACATACGCTTAGGAGAATGGCAGCATGCTTTTCTTTTTGGATAGGCAATAAATATCGGTTTGAAGCCACTGGGATACCTAATAAATTGTAGTTATGAAAATGAGTTGTATCTGCTACTGCAGGAGAAGAACTTTGACAAAACTTGTTGTTAAACAATAAAATGTGAATTACAGAATTATGAAAGAGAAACATTTGAGAAATGCGTTTTTGCATGCTATTCTTTTAAGGTCTACAGTGAAATCTGCCTAAAACGCTTTGCGAGGGCTAGAACTACGTCTTCAAGTGTTCAAAGAACGGCACACTGAAAGCTCAGAGCATAAAGGACCTCAAAAGTCACCATGAAGTTTCTCATTCTGAGCAATTGAGGGAACTGAAACCAAGAAAAGAGAGCCCGCTTTCCCCCTTCAACTAAATTACATGGCATAAAAACACTGTATGTGCAAAACGGATTTACGAAACTTCACCGCTCGTAATTATGTCTTGGAATAAACACATCTTCCATCTTCCCAGCTAAATAAACATTGCACTCAAGTAAAACAGCCCTGCTGGTGATCGGTGTTGGCAAATGACAATAAAACACAAGCGTCTTCAGAGCCAAAGACCAAGTTTACAGCAAGAAGCGCGGACTGAAAAAGTCATGTTGTCAACGTGGCAGCCACGTTACCTCTTAGCGCTGCTCCGTCTGCGGTTTTCAGCAGGCCAGGTCAGTAACTCAGGAGCTACAGATCACTTTGCTGAGATTCAACCTTACAAATGCCTCTTAAAGTTAAGTCAGAGCTCTGCGCTAGCACCTGGATCCAGCCGGGAGGAACTCGTAC